ACCCATCCAAGAAGGAAAGCAAGTTGCGACTAAGGTAGTTTTTTATGGAAACTAGGTAGTTTTGGCCATCTTTTGCTATGCCGCCCCTATTAGCCACCATCCAAGAGTTCTAAACTCTTTCCCATGCTTTCTTATGCCTTTGGTCATGATTATTGAATCACAAGTTACAATTACTTTGATTTTTGTAAAACCAGTTCACTAAACTTGGTGATCAAGAAAGCAAATCTTGAAATATTGATGAACAAGTTTCCTAAGGTTCTCAATATTAATTACCAAGTAGATTTTCGTTAAAATCATAGTGAGCAAGTTTTTAAAGTCTTTTAACTTTTAAGAATGCTAGCTGCATCAAGAAAACTAATTGCCATAATCATATTAGGGCAACCATGTATCATATGCATATTTTACATGCCCAGCCACCACTGGCAGATTTCTGGGCTGAACTTATCATCAACTTTTGAATCACAAAATCAACTCCAAAAATTCTGAAAATTTTCAAAAATGATTATCAATATGTCTATTTTCACATGTTAAAATTTCGTAGCTAAATAATATGCCTAGAGTAAGAAATAATTTTCGTAATATCACTACAGCAGAATTTTCCTAATATAGACAGATTGCAAACGAAAAATTCATTGAGTATACAAACGATATCCATAAATCATAAAATTTAATCTCAATCATCCTAAGATATCATACTTTGATATTCTAAAAGAATTCAATCAAAACAATATAGAAAAACTTAATTTTTTGGCCTCTACATCATAACAATAGATTACAATCAAAACAGTTTTGATATAATAAACAACCAAACAAAATCCTAATTTGTATAATCTATATTGACAAGGCTCTGATATCACTTAAAGGGAATTATATATCATTATCAGAGTTAAAGTAGTAGAATTTTTAAAAATTTTAATTCTCTAAAGCTAAAATCAATCAATAAGATTATACAAACAACATATATATACAAATATGCATAGTTTCGGCTAAGGGTGTTACCATAAATGTCGCAAATCCCTTAGTTAAAATTGGTGACCTTCCAAATAGATTCCAAGCCAAGAAGTTGTTCAAATATTTAGACTCTAATGGTGATCACACGAACTCTTGTGAAACAACCTTCTCTAAGGTTTGGTAGAACTCAAAGCCTCACTATAGTTAGTAAGTGTTTGCAAGAGCTCTTGTATTTTCTTTTAGATGCTTGGTTGGTTGCTCTTTTACATGAGGTGCCAGCTTGATGTTCTTTATATAGGGAAGATTTGGCCCCATTAGGTTTAATTTGTTTGGAATGCAAATTTGCACAATTAACCTTATGCATAACCGAATGTAGGAAACAAGGAAAACTTTTTCTCTTGTTTTTATTTCCCTCTACTTTTGGTTATACGAAAATCAAATTAAGTCTAATTTAATTTGTCCCAATTTTAATCTTTCACAATTGTTCTATTGTGTGTGACCCATTAGGTTTTTTAGCATGTTGGTAATAAACATAAGTATTGTAAGCCTTAGTTTTCAGCTATGGATAAAACAAACTTTTTGCCTTTAACACCAATTATCTAATTAGCCAATCTTATGTTTATAAATCATGATCAATACTAGCTTTTTGCCATTACTCACAATTGCTAAAGAAAAGTTAATATGCTTTGACAACCTATCCGTGAATGGTCTTAGTGTATAATTAATATCCTTTCATCACATAGTATCTTAGTTTGAGTATTGAATATGGTTTAGTGTCTACTCAATCTTGTTCAATCATGTTAAGTCTTGTGTCTGACATTAACTCACAAATAAGTTTTAGAACAATTCTAAAATCTTATTTCACTTTTGCCAAATATTTCTTAAGTTAATTCAATCAAGACTAGTTGAAATACTTTCTTGATCATAGAAGTTGATAAATTCCATCTTGATTATTTTATCCTTCTTCATATACCTCAAGTTATACCTAATAATACTCGATTGGAACATTTTTGGTTAAAACCATAAGTAAAATAAAGTCAAAGTATAACATTCATCATATAAAATCATAAGTAATTTCAAGTCAAAGGATCATCAATACAACCATCACATGAGAATGTAGCTATAGACACTATGTGAACTACCATATAGCAATCTCATATTGGGTCATGTTCAGTGAACTTGTTGTTGTAACAAGCACCCATTGGTTAGCTCAAGTTTATTCAAAACTTCAACCTATGAGATCGGTTGCTTGTTTCATAAGCAAGAGTATAACCACGTGCTAGTCTTAAACGTTTTTGTCAATGTCCTCTTATCGATAAAGCATCGACTAGGAACAATTTTGGAACATATAGCATTTATGCAATGATAATCTCATAATTACAATCTCATTGTAATTCCTTCGCAAAGCTTTATTTATATTTCGAGGACTTTATCATATAAGCATCAGCATTGAAATATATGCATACAAACTCAATTATAAAGAAATAAGACCTTTATAAGATATCAAATATCAAAGTACTACAAATATGACAATATTTTAGCAAAATATGATTCGGTTTGAAGGGCAAATACCAACAACTGCATAGTCATCAAGCTTCTCTCTATATGAGAGGCATAGATGAGAACTGCTAATAAATATCCCTTTTTAGCATTGGGACCACATTCTTTTGGTTTTCATTTGTTAGTATTATATTTGCTATATATTGTAGTCTATCTTGTATTTGATTTTGTAAATAATAGGTTGTCATATTTTTGAAAACTTTCTAATTTGAAGTTTGCCTATTGGTCAGGATTGGTGGTGTAACTATCTCAAGGAAAGGTAAGTCTAACCTCATTAGCGATGGTGAAATAGGTATGGAACCTTCTGACTCGCAAATGTGTTATGCTGATAAAATGTATGATCTTTATTACAACATTTGAGTTGAGAATGGTGGCATGCATCTTCTTTTAGGAAAATTGCATATGTGGCCAATACAACAAATTTTACAGATGCAGGACATATTTGAAACACAAGGTGACTAACATATGCCTCTTAACACCAAAATCTTTTTGATCTTGTGAAGATAAAAAATTATTAGCATCAATGAGCTACCTAGATTTTTCTTGAAAGCAAGCTAAAATTATTGTCTTTTTATGGTTCTACTGCATTGTATCATGTGTTGTTACTCATCGCTAGTGGCCCAAAATTCCAAAACCCTTCGAAGTTTGGTTTTTCTTTTCCAAACTTTCTATTGTTGTGTCCACATTTCTTCTTGTGCGTTTGAGAGTTTTGGCGAAAGTCATATGATTTGATTTGGTTTAAAATTTAATCCACTTTGAGAATTGCACTTTTTATTATTTGCCCAAAGAATTGCATTTTCTGATTGCTGACTTTCTTTGATTTTGGAAGCACCCCTATTTATTTTCTTTGGGTTTGGAAATTGTAAAACTTTTTTTGATGCCATAGTTTTGTGTTATGTAGTCCAATCAGTGGGCATTTATGGATCCCCACGGCGTTGTGGTGGCCAAGTTAATATACTTTCTGGAAGGTAATTGATTCATTAGAATTTCATCTTATTTTTGTTTATTAAAATAGCTGGTGAATTTGATTTTTCTTCGATTTTCATAGATATCCTTTTTTGCTTTTCTTGCGCATTGTACATTCTATTTGGCTTATTTCTTACCCATTTTTTTGGAGTGATGCATCTTTTCTAGAATTCAGCTTTCAAGAGCATAATAGAATAACTTTGATCTTTTTCATGTTGTTCTTTTGTGACAGCGTTGCCGTATTTTTATCTTGGGCTCGTCAACATATTTCAGCTACTGAAAGGAAACCAACTATAAGGTAGTTCTGGGCAGATTTATCTCATATTCCTGGCTCACTCCCTATAGTTCCTCAATCTTCTCTCCTACATGGTCATTGACTGTTTTCTTAAACATGGGATCATTACAGTCCAACAAAGCCTACTGTCTTGGGTTGCATTGCGGGCTCTGCTTTATTGAGGAAGGCTGCATCTCTTGCTCTTGGGCATAAGAAATGGGCAACTCTTACCACCCATATCATTGAATGCTTGGGCCGAAGGTAACTCTCCTTTGATGACAATGAATTTAAAATGAAATAAAAATTTCAATCTAACCCGTTACTTCTATTGATGCAGTTTGGTGGCGATCTTTCCAGCTTCTACATAATGGACGCCCCGCCCACACTCAGTCAGGCTGCTTCATCAACAAAATTGTCATATCATGAATTGTGGTGGTGTTTCCATGGAATGTTGATAAAAATAATAATGTAAAATGGAGGATTCAATGGATTGAATAGCCTTTTTTAATCCTTTTCAAGGGGTCTGGAAGTAGGGTGAGGATCCTGATCTATTACTAAAAAGTAATGAAAGTTTTCACTAGGGTGATTAATGTACATTGAAGTTTTAATGACCTTGAATTGAGTAACAAGTTAGATGAAAATTCATTAAAAGGTGTAAAATGACATGACCAAAATTTGAGCTTAAATTAGAGGATCTTTTGCCGTGGACTGTTGTTTTCTTAGGTCTTTGGTTTTCAACCCTGTTTCGATTGGACGGTATAATGGATGGTTACATGGAAGGCTTAGGGACTTAAAATCATTTTTATGGGCCTAGTTTATGTTTTAATTTGTTAGTTGATTTTTTAGCGATATATTATATATGAATGTAATAGTTAATTATAATTATAACTCTTTTTATATTTATAATTTCATAAAAAAAAAAATTCCGTGCATCAAAGTGCATGAGGGTTGTCTTAGTGAAATCCCAACACCAGTAATCGCACCATAATGAGCATGTGAAAGTGTTGTTTGCCAGGCTAACAATGGTGTGATATTTATTGATGGAGTATTAAATTTTTAGTTTTAGTGATTAAATTCAATTTTCTATAATCTCAAGCATACGGGTTTAATTTTGCATAATCTCAAGCAAACACCAAAAAGAATGTGGTTTGCTAGTTAGTTAAAAATGCATCCAGGCCGGACAAACTTGTACAGGCATGTCAGAAGCATCAGCAGGAAAGACAAATCTCACGTGGAATAACTACCTTTGTCGAGGAAAATTGATTGCATGCAATAAGTACAATGTATTCAACATAACTACTTTTGTCACACTACTAAAAAAGATCATCATTTTCCCTTCTCTTTAATGCTTCAGATTTGGCATTTGTGATAAATGAGTCTAAGAAACATGTTTTGGCAGACCACGAGACGATATCATGTTATAACTTGTAGAATAACAAGAGGCAACCACAGAACTTTGAATTTACATAAAAAAGGCCATGAAATTCAAATTCTTTACAACACCTGAGTTCCAAATCCTCAATCTAAATGATAACGATGTAAGTTAAAAAAAAGGGACCATGGGCCTAAAAAACAGGCATCCTCCGACCGTTACACTACATGTAGGGGGGGTAATTAAATTGTAATGCAATAGAAATGCAGTAATATGTTGTAGACTTCAATCACATACTATGGTATGATGATCAATTCACTTGCACTGTCCTTCAGCTCATAAGCAGCCATTAGCATCTCATTTTAAGAATCCGAAGGTGGCTGCTGCTGTTGTTGTGGCCACATCTGCTGACCAGCATAAGGGCGAGACTGTTGGCCATAAAGGGCATGATCCATGACAGGCTTACCAACAGTCATACCTGCAGCACCAGCCTGTTGAGCAAGCTGTGGTGGCATGTAATAGTAAGGAAGACCATCGGCTGGACCTCCAACTCTCGAACCTGATGCAAGTAACTCATCTTTTAAATCCTCTCTTGGGACTATATCAACCAGAAAATCAAATATATCAGTCCTTGTAATTGCAGCTGCAATGTCATTCTTCTGGAGGGTCCTCCTCTTATTTTCCTCCGTGTGATTCCACGACCTCAGTGTCAACTCTAGAATGAACATTTCACAGGCCCTAGCAAATACTACCGGAGCTTCAGCTGATATCATCCTCACATCCTCATCTGCCTTCATAATCTTCTTAATCCTCGCCAATGGTAGGCTATGATTCTTAAAATCAGTAGTCTGCTCAATTTCTTGATACTGATTTGTCCAAAAGCTCTGGAGTTGTTGTTGCAATTGCTGTTGCTGTTGTTGGTGGATATGCTGATAAGCAAGTTGGTGTTGTGCTAACTGAACTGAGGAGGCAGGGAGACCTGCTGGCTGGCTAGGTGATTGGATTGAGGCAACTGACCCAGGAGCAGAGGATCCTACCATTTGAGTAGGTTGATAACTGGTTACACCATATGAAACTGCTGCTGCACTACCAAATAGGCCCATTGTGGAGGTCTTCCCACGGCCTTGCTGATCCATACTGGTCTATATTGACTAGCAAGATATTCTTTATGCTACAACTTCTAGTGCCAAGCAAAGAAAAAACAAATCTAGATTGATTTAACAAAATAAAACAAACGAAATATTAAGCATTAATAAAAGAACACGAAATAGATTGATTTCCAGAACATAGAGTGGAAACATAAATTAATGGAAAAGCAATGTCGGCAGAAGATTGCTTTAACAACCACATAACCACAAATTACAATCCCAACAATAAAATACATCAAAAATAGATTTCCAGAACCCGTAAAACTCAGAATATGGATAACTTTGGATCTTGATACAATCAACTTATATCCGAAATCCTCAATCAAACTACCAAAACATCTTTTGCGTGCTTTCAACTAATTCATACAAAACAGTGAACAATCAAGACATTTGCTGTAATTAATCAGAGAAAAGGCAATTGTAGGAAATCCTAGCTAGTGATTAGTGTGAAAGACAAGTCAATTGTCAAGTTGCTATAAAATACTTAATCAAAATATTTCTATTTTTTATTAGCATTTGATGGTTATAGGTAGGGCAACGAATTAAAATTGGACAAGTTGAATAAATACAGTTAACAAGCAAAGAGCACCATTGACGTTGTTCGCTTGCAAATTCTGCTAAAGCTACAGCCATCATCATAGTTCATTATCCAAAGCATGGAAAAAAAAAATCCAATTATTCTAAAATAACATGAAATCAATTTGAATAATTCAAGAATCACAACTCCATTGTCGAAACAAAGATTACTTACTAGTTTGCAAAAACAAGCAGAGTAATTGCAATTCACATCGAATATGTATACATAAGTACATATAGAGTATATACGTATAGGCTTATATTCATAGCAAGCAGTTCAACTGTTTCTTTAGGTACAAACAAACGTATAAATACACGTATATACACGAGTACAAGGAATTCAAAATCCCAAGAAAAAAAATTCTCTTTACCAATTATATAAAAAAAATTGCAGAGATAATTAATGATGATCAACGCAATCAGCTGAGTGATAAAATAAAAACCAGAAAGAAAAAAAAAAAGGAAAAACTTTACCTTTCGGTGCTGCTTGTCGTTTGGATGGCGATCACTCGATCTTATTCATAAATTGGAACCCTAAACGAAAAAACTAAAACAAACTAGAAATAAAGAAGGGAAAATAACGGATGGATTGTATTCTGTGTGTGTGTGTGTGTTTTTTTTTTTTTTTTTTTAATGAGTGTTTGGATTAGTGTGGAAGAGAGAAAGATTAGAGGCTGTGGGAGGTATTAAATTACTAGTGAAATTCAAGAAAGAGAGAGACAGAGAGGTTTGGAAGTGGATGATGAGTTGTTTAATGGATGACCGACTTTCACTCTCTCCACTTCTAACATTAGTTGAGTTTCAGGTTGACCTTCTTTTTTTTACTCTTTTGCCCCTCCTCCTCATTCCTAATCTACATTCTAGGCTTTTCCTTTTTTTTTTTTTTAAATTAATTTTGATGACAATAGGTCTCAAATAGAGTGGACGGTTTATGACAATACATGGTTCAATGCGGTATGTATCATGTTTGGTGCATCCTGTTGGTAAGTAATTAGATTGCCCAAACACATATGTCGTATTGAATTAAAAGATTTTAAGTTCATGATTCGATATACATTACTCATTATTCATTAAGGATCAATGTTAGTACGTGACAAGTGTATTAGTACAATACGACAGACAAGCTTAAGCATTATTATTATTATTATTATTATTATTTATGTTGTGATGAAATTATATTTGCTTTTAGCATTTAGTTGGCAATTTACAAAAATAAAATTATATTAAATAAATCTATATACAAAATATTTAAATTATTTTAGATAAATTTATAATCTTTTCATTTTGAATATAAAATATATAATATATCACCTTTTTTTTTATAAAAAATAATTTTCTCAAAAACTACACTATTAGTAAAAATTCATCAAAAAATAAACTACTAAAGTGTAAAAGTTGCCACTTTAACTAATAGTAGTAAAAATAGTTAAGATATCATTGATAAAAATTTTAATCATTCCAAAAGGGTTAAAATTTATAAAATTGAAAAAAATTTGCTTTTATATTCAAAATTCAATAAACTTCCTTATATTCATAAAATACACTTTAAACTGAAGTTATAGACATAAAATACACTTTAAACTAAAGTAATAATTAAAAATTTTACAAAGCTATTAAAAGCCATGCTTGGCTTGATTCGATATAAAGAATAATATCATGCTAGACACTGTATAACCCATAAAGTTTATAGAACATGTGTTGTGTTAGGCCATGCTCTTACCTTTTATAGACGTATATTATATAATAATGTTGGATCAACATAATCTATTAACACATGAGCTAATATTTAAATGAACTATATTAACTCGATATGGCCCATTTGATACCTTTAGGTTGACTTTTTATTTTTATATATAATACTTTGGTAAATTTGAATAATTTTTATTAGGGAATTTTTTTAACTTCATGGAAGATCAATTCTTTGTAGAATAATATTTTTCTTTAAATTAATTAATTGAATAATTTTCAAGTGACAAATTGTTTATAGTCAAGTAGAATTAATGACATTATTTAATTCAATTATATAATTAATAATTTTATGATTAATTAAATATATTATTTGGCAATTAAAGACACAAATACACTTGTATTGACTAATCAAAATTCAAGGACACATAATATGACCAATCAAAATTCATTTATGGGTCATCCAATTTATTTCCAATTAAATTAAAATAATTTAAAGATAAATTCAAATTTTGGCTAATCAAATTTTAAAAATTTATGGGTCATAAATTAAAATTTCTTTCATGAGTCATAGGTTTTTGTCTCTAATCAAACTAGAATTATTTAGAGATAAAATAAAAGAGGTTAAATTCTTTTAAAACCCTCATACTTAGCAGCTGACACTATAAATAAAAACTTTTCTAAGCCATTTAACACATAATTTTTGGAAAAAAAGATCTACATACTGATGGGGAAAGAGAATATTTGAAGAATCAAAATCTCCAAAATTCTCACAAGTTTAAGAATAAAGATCAAGAATACAATTTTTGGATGAAGGGAAAGCTAAAGACAAAAGGGGAAAGAGAAGATATGAAGCACCCACAAGTCTAAGTGGAAGATTTCAAGAACAAAGTCTCCAGTATTCTAACAAACAAATTTAAGAAAACAAAATGGGGAAAAAAAGATTTTAAGAATCAAAATTTAAGAATCCCTACAAGTCCAAGATGGATGATTTGGAGAGTAATCTTTAGAAATCCAATAAACAAACTCAAGAAGGAAGATCTGAAGATCAAAGCCTAAAGATTTATAAATCCTTAAATTGGGATCAAGTTTCAAGAATTTGTAAATTAGGACCAAATTTCAAGAATCCCTAAATTGATACCAAAGTTTAAAAATCCCTATATTGGAATCAAATTCCAAAAATTTTTAAATTGGGACCAGATTCCAAAATTTCCATGATTCTCTAAATTTTAGAATGAAGATCTTATGGAAACCTCAAATTTTAGGTCCAAAATTATTCAATTCAATATCAAGTCATAAATACTTTTAAAGTGAATTTTTGCTAAAAAAAATTTATTCAATTCAAGCTCGAGTCATCAAAACCCTTGAAGTGAATTTCTACTAAAGCACATATTTATTCAATTCAAGATCAAATAATCAAGACCCTTGAAGTGAATTTTTGTTATAAAGATGATTCACAATTTTTAAGAGAAGAAAAAGGTTTTGAAAACTTAAAAGCCTTTGCAAAGTTTCAAGAATAAAGCTCTAAAGAATTGAACAAGTTTTGAAGAACTTGAAGAACACAGCATTTGGGGTTCTAAGAATTGTCAAGAAATTGCTTTTCAATCTAATTACCTAAAGAAAGGAAATCAATTTCATTTGCTCGAAATCAAGTCATCAAAACCCTTGAAACGAATTTTTTTTAAGAATCTTGTTCCACATAAAGCAAGGAGATCCACTATGTTTACTCTAGATCAAGTCATTAAAACCCTTGAGGAGGATTTTTCTTAAAGAAAAGAATAAGAGGATTTTTCTTTATTTTAAGAATTTTTAGATATTGTAATTTCCACATCTAATAAATAAATTATTATTTGTCTCTAATTTTTCTAGTCTTATGTTTTACTCAAAATTTGTGTGTATAAAATTTTGCCTTACCTAGTGAGCTAATCTCTACCTTTCATCTCTTTTTAGCAAAAGTTCAAGTGTTCAAATTGCAAAGGCTCCCAAAAAGAACTTTGCTATCAAGCTAGCTCTTAGGCCTTCTAGAGCAAATCTTGCAATCTACCCCAGTTAATCATCAAGCATAGATGTTCTTGGTCACCCTATAGCATTAGAAGAAAAGTAAAAGTTTTTGCTAAAGTTCATGCTCAAACTCTTTCAGTGTTGACCTAAAAAATCAAATTTATAATACTTCTTTCCCAAATCAAGGTTTAGAAGAATCTTCTTCTAGGTAACTTACTTCTTCTTATGAATCAAGTGCAAACCATAAGCTATCATTCAAGGAACAAAATAATTACTTAAGTAGTAGCTCTATTCCATCATCTCTTTCATAATAAAATTTTAGAGTAATGATTGTCATGAAAACTAGCACTAGATCATTGAAAAAACAAGTTAGGCTCTTTAAAAAAGTAGTGGAATCTCTTCCAACAAGCATTATAAAAAAAGATAACCAGATTGCTGCAATGACGGATAAGATTAACAATCTCACTATAGATATCTAATTTTATCTGAACATGTTCTAGCTAGCTATGATACTTTAAAGGTGAGCCCATTTCATGCCTAATATTTTTTTTTTTAAGATTTAAAAACTTTTGAAAATAAATTTTGAGTTAAAATGACCACGATGCATTACGGTCAAACCAAGTCAAACTCGATCAAACTTGGTCAAACTCGGGTAAACCCTTGGAATTCACAATTGAATAGGACTATTAAGACTTGAGAATTATAAAATTATGATTTGGATACTTGAAAATCTTGATTGCATCTCATAAGAGTGAAATTACGTAAATGCCCTTTAAGGGTATTTTTGTAATTTGGCATTTTTGAAGTTGGTTTTACATGACAAACTCCAAATGATGTTTTAATATTATTCATGAATCTTGATGCAATGAAAACTTTGATTGCACCTCATAAATGTTGAAATTATTAAAATATCCTTTTGGGGTATTTTTCATAATTTGACCTTTTCGAGGTTGATTTTTCATGAAAAGCTTCAAATCATGCTTTACAATTATTCCATGAATTTTGATGCGTTGAAAACCTTGATTATACCTAAAAAAAGTGAAATTACCTAAATACCCTTTAAGGGTATTTTCCTAATTTAGCCTTTTTGAGGTTAGATTTTCACGAAAAATTTTAGCTCATAGTTGAATATTATTATATTATTTTTAATCCATTAAAATCATGAAAATAAATATTGGACCATAGGATTTTAGGAAAATCATGCAAAAACAAAAAACACTAATAAAGGTAAAATGGTTTTTTCTCATTAAAACAGTGGCAAAATCCTTAGATGAAATTGATCTAAGGGCTAGGAAAGGTGATATTGGTCTTTAAAAATATCATTTAGGGTTAGAAAAGAGAGGAGGCAGCTAGAAGTGGGAAAAAAAAAACTAGAAAAGAAAAAGAAAAAATAAAAAAATTGGAAAAGCTTTGGAAGGTAAACCATTTTCTCACCATTTTTATACATTTTTCATTTTCATTCCATGTAGTTCTTAGTTCTTCTCCATGTAATTCTTCATTCCAAGAGCCTTATCCTTTTTCTAATGGTTTACATGCTTTGATTTATGATTTAGATGTGCTTTAAATGATTTGGTCTTGTTATTATCTTGTTTGCATGACTTGATGCTATTTTTGTTTAATTTTCTTGAATACAAATGTTATATTTTTTATTTGTCTTTTGTTAGTTTTCTAAGTGTTTGATAAAAGTTCTATTTTGAATAGATGATGGTTATTTAATTACATGATGTGTGCTTGATATGTGTTAGCTTTTGGATTTAGGGTTTAGGATGCTTATAATGTTTGTTAGGTGTTGGAAACCCTAAATTCAAACTCTAAAATCATGGGAACTTCGAATTCAAACCCGAAACCAAAAGTCAAAGTCTAAACCCAAGGTTAAACACTAAACCCAAAGTCAAATCCTAAAACCCCAAAGTCAAACCTTAAAACCTAAAGTCAAACCCTAAACCCAAAGTCAAACCTTAAAACCCCAAAGTCAAACCTTAAACCCCAAAACCAAATCCTAAACCCCAATGCCAAACCCTAAAGCTCAAAGTCAAACCCTAAAGGCCTAAAGTCAAATCCCAAAAAACCTATAATCAACCCTCAAACCCCAAAGTCAAACCCTAAAACCCAAAATCAACCACTAAACCCTAAAGTTAAAACCTAAACCCTAAAACCTAAAACC